TATTATTATTATTATTATTATTATTATTATTATTATTATTATTATTATTATTATTATTATTATTATTATTATTATTATTATTATTATTATTATTATTATTATTATTATTATTATTATTATTATTATTATTATTATTATTATTATTATTATTATTATTATTATTATTATTATTATTATTATTATTATTATTATTATTATTATTATTATTATTATTATTATTATTATTATTATTATTATTATTATTATTATTATTATTATTATTATTATTATTATTATTATTATTATTATTATTATTATTATTATTATTATTATTATTATTATTATTATTATTATTATTATTATTATTATTATTATTATTATTATTATTATTATTATTATTATTATTATTATTATTATTATTATTATTATTATTATTATTATTATTATTATTATTATTATTATTATTATTATTATTATTATTATTATTATTATTATTATTATTATTATTATTATTATTATTATTATTATTATTATTATTATTATTATTATTATTATTATTATTATTATTATTATTATTATTATTATTATTATTATTATTATTATTATTATTATTATTATTATTATTATTATTATTATTATTATTATTATTATTATTATTATTTTCTCATTCTCGGCTTTTACCGGTGGTTGGTAGTTGTCTGCGGGCTGATACCTAAGCAGACAGAGCTAATAAGTCGAAAGTATGTTAATCAAATGGTTATTGAATATTAAGGAACTTTCTTGTCATATTACATGTGGATAATATGACAGCCTTTTGAATGGGACGAATCATTTCTGGCATTGATAATGCCTTTAAGGTATCTATAAATGTTTTTGGTATAATTCCTGTTGCTGAGAGAACCGCTGGTAAAATTGTAGCTTTATTGAGACCCCATTGTTCTTTTATCTCTACTGCTAGTTCCCTATATTTGTTAATTTTTGTATTATGCGTATCCTGGAGGTTATTCGTATGGGGTACGGCTACGTCTATTAAGAATGCCCATTTTTCCATTTTATTTATTAACGTTATATCTGGTCTATTTGCTTGAACAGTACGATCAGTGAGTAGCGTTCTGTCCCAGTATAATACAACAATGTCATTTTCCATGACCTTTTCAGGAGTATATTTATAATATGGGGTGTTTTCTTGTTATTATTATTATTATTATTATTATTATTATTATTATTATTATTATTATTATTATTATTATTATTATTATTATTATTATTATTATTATTATTATTATTATTATTATTATTATTATTATTATTATTATTATTATTATTATTATTATTATTATTATTATTATTATTATTATTATTATTATTATTATTATTATTATTATTATTATTATTATTATTATTATTATTATTATTATTATTATTATTATTATTATTATTATTATTATTATTATTATTATTATTATTATTATTATTATTATTATTATTATTATTATTATTATTATTATTATTATTATTATTATTATTATTATTATTATTATTATTATTATTATTATTATTATTATTATTATTATTATTATTATTATTATTATTATTATTATTATTATTATTATTATTATTATTATTATTATTATTATTATTATTATTATTATTATTATTATTATTATTATTATTATTATTATTATTATTATTATTATTATTATTATTATTATTATTATTATTATTATTATTATTATTATTATTATTATTATTATTATTATTATTATTATTATTATTATTATTATTATTATTATTATTATTATTATTATTATTATTATTATTATTATTATTATTATTATTATTATTATTATTATTATTATTATTATTATTATTATTATTATTATTATTATTATTATTATTATTATTATTATTATTATTATTATTATTATTATTATTATTATTATTATTATTATTATTATTATTATTATTATTATTATTATTATTATTATTATTATTATTATTATTATTATTATTATTATTATTATTATTATTATTATTATTATTATTATTATTATTATTATTATTATTATTATTATTATTATTATTATTATTATTATTATTATTATTATTATTATTATTATTATTATTATTATTATTATTATTATTATTATTATTATTATTATTATTATTATTATTATTATTATTATTATTATTATTATTATTATTATTATTATTATTATTATTATTATTATTATTATTATTATTATTATTATTATTATTATTATTATTATTATTATTATTATTATTATTATTATTATTATTATTATTATTATTATTATTATTATTATTATTATTATTATTATTATTATTATTATTATTATTATTATTATTATTATTATTATTATTATTATTATTATTATTATTATTATTATTATTATTATTATTATTATTATTATTATTATTATTATTATTATTATTATTATTATTATTATTATTATTATTATTATTATTATTATTATTATTATTATTATTATTATTATTATTATTATTATTATTATTATTATTATTATTATTATTATTATTATTATTATTATTATTATTATTATTATTATTATTATTATTATTATTATTATTATTATTATTATTATTATTATTATTATTATTATTATTATTATTATTATTATTATTATTATTATTATTATTATTATTATTATTATTATTATTATTATTATTATTATTATTATTATTATTATTATTATTATTATTATTATTATTATTATTATTATTATTATTATTATTATTATTATTATTATTATTATTATTATTATTATTATTATTATTATTATTATTATTATTATTATTATTATTATTATTATTATTATTATTATTATTATTATTATTATTATTATTATTATTATTATTATTATTATTATTATTATTATTATTATTATTATTATTATTATTATTATTATTATTATTATTATTATTATTATTATTATTATTATTATTATTATTATTATTATTATTATTATTATTATTATTATTATTATTATTATTATTATTATTATTATTATTATTATTATTATTATTATTATTATTATTATTATTATTATTATTATTATTATTATTATTATTATTATTATTATTATTATTATTATTATTATTATTATTATTATTATTATTATTATTATTATTATTATTATTATTATTATTATTATTATTATTATTATTATTATTATTATTATTATTATTATTATTATTATTATTATTATTATTATTATTATTATTATTATTATTATTATTATTATTATTATTATTATTATTATTATTATTATTATTATTATTATTATTATTATTATTATTATTATTATTATTATTATTATTATTATTATTATTATTATTATTATTATTATTATTATTATTATTATTATTATTATTATTATTATTATTATTATTATTATTATTATTATTATTATTATTATTATTATTATTATTATTATTATTATTATTATTATTATTATTATTATTATTATTATTATTATTATTATTATTATTATTATTATTATTATTATTATTATTATTATTATTATTATTATTATTATTATTATTATTATTATTATTATTATTATTATTATTATTATTATTATTATTATTATTATTATTATTATTATTATTATTATTATTATTATTATTATTATTATTATTATTATTATTATTATTATTATTATTATTATTATTATTATTATTATTATTATTATTATTATTATTATTATTATTATTATTATTATTATTATTATTATTATTATTATTATTATTATTATTATTATTATTATTATTATTATTATTATTATTATTATTATTATTATTATTATTATTATTATTATTATTATTATTATTATTATTATTATTATTATTATTATTATTATTATTATTATTATTATTATTATTATTATTATTATTATTATTATTATTATTATTATTATTATTATTATTATTATTATTATTATTATTATTATTATTATTATTATTATTATTATTATTATTATTATTATTATTATTATTATTATTATTATTATTATTATTATTATTATTATTATTATTATTATTATTATTATTATTATTATTATTATTATTATTATTATTATTATTATTATTATTATTATTATTATTATTATTATTATTATTATTATTATTATTATTATTATTATTATTATTATTATTATTATTATTATTATTATTATTATTATTATTATTATTATTATTATTATTATTATTATTATTATTATTATTATTATTATTATTATTATTATTATTATTATTATTATTATTATTATTATTATTATTATTATTATTATTATTATTATTATTATTATTATTATTATTATTATTATTATTATTATTATTATTATTATTATTATTATTATTATTATTATTATTATTATTATTATTATTATTATTATTATTATTATTATTATTATTATTATTATTATTATTATTATTATTATTATTATTATTATTATTATTATTATTATTATTATTATTATTATTATTATTATTATTATTATTATTATTATTATTATTATTATTATTATTATTATTATTATTATTATTATTATTATTATTATTATTATTATTATTATTATTATTATTATTATTATTATTATTATTATTATTATTATTATTATTATTATTATTATTATTATTATTATTATAGAAAATTTGCATTTTACTTTAGAAGCATTAAAAGAGCAATTAGATTTATTGAAATCCTATAAATCATCTAGTTCCGAAGGTTTTCAATCTCAAATACATCAGGACAGAAGTAAGCCTTCGAATAGTTCAGGCCTTTCTGAATCTCATCGATCGGAATTAAAGAGTATGCAAAATAATACAGAACAAAACTTTACATTACCAAAAACTGATATAATAGGAGTTAAACCTAATAATCCTATCACTAAAACTGCATTAGCAACTGCTCTCTACAATGAGGAATCAAGAAACACTCTCACATCAATAATCAATCTTGAAAAAGACGTTAGACCTAAGGCTTTACTGGTAGGCTCGTTAGCAGAAAACAGTAGTGATGGTACCTTGAGAGCTTCTGACTTTGTAAAAACCTCTGAGTTTCATTACCATGCAACAAATTTTGCCCCTGATGTATCTTCAGAAAATCTACAAAAGCATCTAAAGAAATTTGCTCCAAATGTAAGGGTTCAAAAACTGAACTCACGAAATCCCCAAAAATACTCTTCATTTAAGATATCTCTGCCATCTCTTGAATCTGAGGCTATCATGGATAGTAAAATTTGGCCATATAAAGTTTTTCTTAATCGGTTTTTTCCATCTAGGAAATTTAAGCCACAAACAGATTAGCGTTCCTTTAAATGATTTGCATATTTCGCATTTGTCTGAAGTTAATAGGTGTTCCGTACTTCACATCAACGTTCAAAGCCTAGCTAATAAAACAGATGAACTACAACTATATTTAAATAAACAAAAAATTGACATTTTATGTATCTCAGAACACTGGCTCCCATATCCCCATTTAGGCCTCATAAAAATTAATGGATATAACCTAGTTTCATCCTTCTGTCGCGAAGAAGGAAAACATGGTGGGGTCGCGATCTACTCAACTACAAATGTTAATGTAACAAATGTTGATTGCTCGAAGTTTTCTGTATCCGTCCACGCGGAATTTTGCGGAGTTGAAATTGCCAATGAAAGCAGTGTTTTAATCACGACATACAGGTCATCTAGTAATGGCGACGTGAACATTTTTAAAGACAAATTACATAGATTGTTATTTGATATGTCTAAAAAATATAAATTTATAAGTGTGCTGGGCGATCTCAATTGTGACCTTGATGGAAATACGGAACACGCTAAAGATATTCGTAATTTTGCAGCAATGTATGGTTTACGACATTTTATTCACGTTCCCACACGCATCACACCTACATCCAGATCAAAGCTTGACAACATATTAAGTAATATACACCCTTACGAAATTTCAACTGGAACTGTAGATTTGGATATAGCTGATCACTGTGGTATTTATATGACTATTAATAATAAAAAAACTAATAATAGTATCAAACATACAAGGCGTAATATAAATTCGAGAACTTTAGAAAATTTTGCGAAATCTATTTTAGATATAAATTGGAGTGATCTGAAACTTGAGCTCTTACAAGCTAATGAGATGTGCAAAAAAATATTGGAAATTTTTAAAGACAACACCGACAGCTGCTTTCCCACTAAATACTGCCAGATCCGAAATAAAGGGGCAGAGTGGTACAATCGGGAGCTTCGTGTACAGAGAAGGGAAGTATTCTCAATGAAAGCACGTTTTAATGAATCCAATTCAATTATTGATTGGAATTTTTATAGAGAAACACGCAGCAACTATAAACGGGCCTTAAGAAAAACAAAGCGTGATTATTTTAAAAATCTGATTGAGAAATCAGATAACAAAAGTAAAGTTGTATGGGAAATCGTTAACGCTGAGAGAAATGCTAGTAATAGCAAACGTACAACATCAACGCTCTCTCCTGAGGAGTTAAACTCATTCTTTGTCTCCGTAGCTAACATTATTGTTTCTACTATAAATAACAGTAATATAAGCCCTTATACCTACATCAATCAGCTGCCGAAACCTAATTTTTCATTTTTTATGCCACCCATTGTTGAGTCTGATGTCAAGCAAGCCATCCTTGCATTAAAGAACTCTAAATCTATAGACTATTATGGTTTAAATAGTTGTATGGTGAAAATGACGCTAGAGTCTATCGTTACGCCACTTTGCTTGTTGTTTAACAAATGCTGTGAAGAAGGGTTTTGGCCTGATGAACTTAAAATAAGCAAAGTTGTGCCCATACATAAAAAGGGAGATGCAAACTCTATGGATAACTATAGACCGATCGCAATAGTTCCTATCATAGGCAAAATATTAGAAAAAATTTTAAAAGAAAAATTAATTAATTATTTTGAACATAAAAATATTCTATCCACACATCAATATGGGTTCAGGAAGCATAGATCGACTATTAGAGCTCTCTTATCTGTTATTGATGACGTAGTTGATGGCATGGATAATGGTACTAGTACTACGGCCACTATGTGTGACTTATCTAAAGCCTTCGACTGCGTCAGCACTGAGATTTTAATTAAAAAATTAGAATTCTATGGAATTAGAGAAACAAGTTTAAATTTACTCTCTAGTTATCTTCATGACCGAAAACAGTATGTTTCCTTAAACAACTCAGAGTCATCAATGTCATCAGTGGAGAGAGGGGTGCCTCAAGGTTCTGTTTTGGGTCCCCTACTTTTTATAGTATATATTAACGATTTACCGAAAGCAATTGAAGGCGCAGCTGTAATCCTCTTTGCGGATGATACGACTATACTGACCAAAGACAATGAAGCATCTAATAGAGAGTGTGTCTCAATGGCCAAAAAGTGGTTTGACTCAAACGAACTCAAACTTAATGAAAATAAAAACCAGTCAATTGCTTTTACGTCTAGTAAAACGACAGATAAATCGGAGCCAGTACAGCTTCTCGGTGTGACAATAGATGCTGGTCTTAATTGGAATAATCATATTGACGTTCTCTGTTCAAAACTGTCTACGCAGTTATTTGCTCTCAGACAAATGCGAAATGTACTCAATGCAACACCATTAAAAACGGTGTACTATGGAATATTCCATAGTCAACTTACCTACGGCGCTGTGCTATGGGGAAATTCCAGTCACGCACATAAGGTTTTTGTCCTACAGAAGGCTGCAGTGCGCATTGTTGATGGTGCAGAGTATGATACGCCCTGCAAGGCCCTATTCAAAAAACATCGAATACTGCCTTTGCCATGCGTATATATACTCGAAAATCTAGTCACTATTCACGGTAATCTTGATAAATATAATAGGCATGCCGACGTTCACGATCACAACACAAGGATCAACAATAATTTAGTGCCCCCGAAATCTAGGCTATATATAACCCAAAAAAATAAATTAAACATCAAAGTTTACAATTTTTTCTTAGAACTGTATAATAATTTAAATATTATCTCACTAACTACCAAACAAATCCAGAAAAAAGCTAGAGATTTCTTACTTGAGGAGTGTTTTTATTCAGTTGAGGAATTTTTAAATTTTAAAAAAATTTAACCTACCTATTGTCATTTTAATTTATTTGTAAAAAAAAAAAACTGTTTGCAACATAAATGTACACTTGAAGTGTTTTGTTTTAAGTATTTGTCTATTTCTGTATTTTATTTTTATATCGTACCTATTTGTTTTTAATGTATATTTAAATATTTTTTTTTTTTTTGACAATTTTATTTTTATCTTCTATTAATTTGATTGACTATTTGACTATATGATATATTTTAATGTATAATAATTGTAATTTGAATTTTAGACGTTGTGACCCTTATGTACCATTGTTGTATGAATTACTGGTCAATAAAAATATCTATCTATCTATCTATCTATTATTATTATTATTATTATTATTATTATTATTATTATTATTATTATTATTATTATTATTATTATTATTATTATTATTATTATTATTATTATTATTATTATTATTATTATTATTATTATTATTATTATTATTATTATTATTATTATTATTATTATTATTATTATTATTATTATTATTATTATTATTATTATTATTATTATTATTATTATTATTATTATTATTATTATTATTATTATTATTATTATTATTATTATTATTATTATTATTATTATTATTATTATTATTATTATTATTATTATTATTATTATTATTATTATTATTATTATTATTATTATTATTATTATTATTATTATTATTATTATTATTATTATTATTATTATTATTATTATTATTATTATTATTATTATTATTATTATTATTATTATTATTATTATTATTATTATTATTATTATTATTATTATTATTATTATTATTATTATTATTATTATTATTATTATTATTATTATTATTATTATTATTATTATTATTATTATTATTATTATTATTATTATTATTATTATTATTATTATTATTATTATTATTATTATTATTATTATTATTATTATTATTATTATTATTATTATTATTATTATTATTATTATTATTATTATTATTATTATTATTATTATTATTATTTTGTTTTGATTTTTCTCAGCTAATTGCTGGTTGCAGTAGACAGTGTTGAAGAAGAAATTCATCTTATTCCAACACGCCCAAAAATTTCCTCACTATATGGCAGGTCTGTAGAATGGCTGCTTTTTGTAGATGTGGTATAATAGGAGGTATATTTAATTTTTCTAATTGTTTTGGAAGGTTTATGGAGACAATTCCTGTAACCGAAACTACTATTGGGATTATTTGTACTCTCTTCATGCCCCAAACATGCTTTATTTCTATGGCAAGGTTTTCATATTTTGTGGTTTTCTCTAATTCTGTTTTCGCAACGTTATGGCTAAGTGGGCAAGCAATGTCTATTATAAATGCTTCTTTGGTTTCTTTACCTATAATGACGATATCAGGTCTGTTGTAATCCACTGTTCGATCAGTAAGTATCGGTCGATCCCAATATAAAATGTTCTCCCTTGATTCTAAAATAGACTCAGGATTATAGCGATAGTACGGTGGAGGATTTTCAGTTAGGTTTAGTTTTTGGGCTAACTGGGAGTGTATTATTTTGGCTACCTGATTATGTCTGCCTAGGTAAGCACTATTTGACATTGCAGAACATCCAGCAGTAACATGTTCTATTGTTTCATTAGGTGCTCGACATTTTCTGCATACATCCTCTACATTCGCTTTCAAGATATGTTTTTCATAATTTCGTGTACGGATTACTTGATCTTGTATTGCTATTAAAAATCCCTCAGTCTCCGGGTATAGTTGTCCTTGTCTTAACCAAGTTAGCGAAAGTTCTTTATTAATGTTTTGCTGTGTCAATGCAGCTGGGTATTTTCCGTGTAAAACTTTTTCTCTCCATGATGTTGCCATCGATTGATTACTGATAGGTGATATGTGTTCTTCTTGTTCCGATAGATTTAGGGGTGTATATTTATTATCATGTGTCACAATAGATCTTATTATTGGGCACTCTACTTTGTTAAAATATTCCTTCATTTTCTGCTCTTGTTCTTTACATAGCTTTTCTATACATATAAACCCACGTCCTCCTTCACTTCTTGGCAGATGCGTTCGCTCAACGGCGGATCTGGGGTGATGATATCTGAATTTAGTTAGCACTCTGCGTGTTAGACGGTCTAATTCTTTCAAATCCGTGGTGGTATATTTTAAAATTCCAAAAGAGTAGGTCAGTACAGATATTGCCCAGGTATTGACGGCTATAGTTAGATTTTTAGAGTTTAGTTTAGTATTAAGTAGTTTGGTAAGTCTCTTTTTATATTTTTCTTTATACTCTTTTTTCCTATTACTATGATCTATTGAGCCATGTTGTTCTATTCCCAGGTATTTGTACGTCTCTTCGGGAGGCAGAGCTTGAATTTCCCTTTCTGTATTTTCATACCGTATGTGGCCTTTGATAAATGTCAAAGTAGCGCATTTCTCTAATCCAAATGTCATTTTGATATCATCGCTAAACTTTTTGGCTGTTTGGATCAATATATTTAAGTGTTGTTTATTTTCAGCATAAAGTTTTATATCATCGACGATTATTATTATTATTATTATTATTATTATTATTATTATTATTATTATTATTATTATTATTATTATTATTATTATTATTATTATTATTATTATTATTATTATTATTATTATTATTATTATTATTATTATTATTATTATTATTATTATTATTATTATTATTATTATTATTATTATTATTATTATTATTATTATTATTATTATTATTATTATTATTATTATTATTATTATTATTATTATTATTATTATTATTATTATTATTATTATTATTATTATTATTATTATTATTATTATTATTATTATTATTATTATTATTATTATTATTATTATTATTATTATTATTATTATTATTATTATTATTATTATTATTATTATTATTATTATTATTATTATTATTATTATTATTATTATTATTATTATTATTATTATTATTATTATTATTATTATTATTATTATTATTATTATTATTATTATTATTATTATTATTATTATTATTATTATTATTATTATTATTATTATTATTATTATTATTATTATTATTATTATTATTATTATTATTATTATTATTATTATTATTATTATTATTATTATTATTATT